AATTGAGGCTAAGACAGGTTACGTTGATTGCCTGAGGTTACACGGCCTATAAGTAGCACTGCTGGGTCTTGAACCTGGGTCCTGTGGACACTCTGACTTCTGGGACCCTAGGCCCTACCTCTTTGCCACTCAGATTGGAAAACAAGCAAAGAAGGATCAGTATATGCCCACTGCTGCCTCCCCAGGGGATCCTGGGGTGGAGGTACCGAGCGCCTTGGCTTCCGCACAGTCTGTACTTCCGCCATGAGTGTGCAGGCCAGGCCTAAGGCTTGATCCCCTGCCACCAAGCCCTAGGACAGAGCTGACATTTGTGCTGCACTGCCATCTGCACAGGACAAAACCCACGCTTATTATTTCTCTAATCCTCCCAAACTCTCCCCGTGAGACCAGAAGTGGGTGAGGGGCTGCCTCTACCTACTGACCTCGTGCCCCAAGGCTTTAAGCCCGTCTGAGCCCAGGAGAACACTAATCATCACAGTAGTGGTAATAAAAACAATAATAGTAATTTTTATTTCTCTATGCCATGTGGACAGCTAACATTTATCGCCTGCCTACTATGCTCCTAGCAGTGTGTTTATTTAATCATTACAATAACCCTAGGTGAGAGGTACTATTATTATGGCCTATGGATATGGAAACGGAGGTTCAGAAAGGTTAAGTTACTTGCCCAAGGTCCCATAGCTACTGAATGACAGAAACAGAATTCAAACCCAGGTAGGTCTTATTTCAAAGTTTCTGATGTTATCCACTATGCTGAGCTCTGTGGGAAAAGTCTGGCCACCAAAGCCCTAGGGCCAGAGTTGGGCATGATGAGGGGGTCTCAGAGCGGGTGCCCCCACACAGACTCACAGCTGCGCGCACTCTCCCAGGGATGCCCTGAAGCTGGATTCGAGCAAACTCGGCCAGAGGTTGTGCAGAAGATAACCGGGCAGACCCGGCGTCTGCCAAGGCCCTTACGACCTACTTCAAGCCCCTCCTCTACTGGCTGTTGACCAAAAACATGCGCCAGGGTGAGATCCTGGGATGGCCAGACTTCAGCTGTTCCTTTAAAGGTTTGATAATCTGACCCTGGTCCCAGCTCTGGTCCAGCCCTAAGCCCTGCCCTAGCCTGCCTGGGGCCAGCCCCTGCCTTAACTCCTAGTCCCTCTATGGCCTGGTTTGAACAAGCAGAGCACTGATGCTGTGTGACCCCGTCTGCACCTGCTGCAGCCTCCACCAAGGCTACAGCTCACACCGCAGCCCATGACCCAGTTGCTGCCTTGTATACTATCCAGCTAGAGTGCCAAGGTGGCACCTGAGCATAGGGTGCCATCTTGCCTCCTGACCCATGCACAAAGCCACTGCTGGATGCCACAGGAGTATATGGCCCTACCTATATCCATCTCCTTCTCTTCCTGCTGCTTTTTTTTCCCACCCTCCTTCCAGAGCAATGCGCTCACCTGTGGCTTGGAAAGTAGGCACCTGAGGTTGAGGGAAAAGGCCAGTGGCAGGCAGATCCTCTGTGCTGGCTACAGGGCAACTGAGGGCCTTCTCCCCAGTTCTGCCTGCTCTGTGGGACTCCCACGTCTTCCAGAGAAAAAGACAAGGACAAGGTGAAATTCCTGAGTCTGGAGGGGACAATGACCAGGCCAAATTTGAGCAGCGGGTATTGCTGGCCCTGAACTTCGTTATGTTCCTGGTGGCCCTACTGCTGGCTTGCAGGCTGTACACCCCTAGAAAAAAAGGTCACTGGCCCAGAAAACCACTGCACAGAATACCAATCCACTGCAGACACCCCCAGGCCTATTTCCTGGGCAAAGTCGTGAAGACCAGCCAGGTTGCCGAAAGATAGTGGTTCTGCTGGGTCTCTGCTTGGTCCTACTGCTGTGATCAGTCAGACTGACCTTTTGAATTTCCACACAGCGCAACATGAAGCCCCCATGGGTGAGTGCTAAGTGGTGAAGCTGGGACTAGACACTAGTTCAGCTGGTGGGGCTGGGGGACAGGAGGAAGATGACCAAGCCAGAGAGGGTTAGAGGTGGCTGGAAAGGGGACAGCTGGCATGCGTAGTGCCCAACTGCATTTGGGTGCAGCAGATCTGGGTATATGGGGAGTTGTAACTGTGTCTGTGTAAGCTCATGTATGCAGGTCCATGTGCACAGGTGGACTCTGTGTGATTCCATGTGATTCCATGCATTCCATGTATGCCATTGGTTACAGGTCAACCTCCTTCCCCTAGAACTTGGGAACCATGGTTTTAGTGACCCCATGGCTATGTCCTTCCAAAACAGCCTCCACCCCAATTCATGTCCAGAACCGCTTCTTCACACAGCCTGTCTTCTTCAGGGGCCCAGCTGTGGAGCTGGGCTGGGACTGTAGTGCCCAAGGAATGTCTGCTCTGATTAGAAACAAGACACTGCTTCAGTCCCATCGTAAAATAGAATCAGACATTCCTGTACAAATCATTGGTGCTCAGTTCCCGAGCACAGTACTCTATATACTGGCCAGCACATCTTTCTGCTGAATCTCTGGCCGGCCCTATGTTGGGCTTCATAATCAAGCCCTAAAAGTTACTTGTCAGCCATCTGAGATGCAAGTAGCTCACAAAACGCCCCACGGCCCTCCCTGCCCCAGCCCAGGCCTTCCCAAATGGAGACAGTGGGTAGCTGGGCGCCAAGCCAGGCTTGATGAATGATTGACTTCTTGAATATTTAAACAAAGCTCATCTCTAGCCATTCCACTCCAGAGATGGCCTTGTTCAACACACACACCTGCTGCCTGGTCTGTTGCCCTGGGGATTGGACACAGGGCAAACAACACCTTCCCAGACTCAGTGGAGGAGGGGATGACAGGGAGGGAATGCTGTTGGAGGACTCTAGGGACAAGCCTTGGAAGAGAGAGGGTCGGCCTCTGCTCTTGCCCCTTCTAGCCCTGTCTTTCTAGCCTGAGTCTCCCTGCCATGGGGACAAACTGAGTTTGGACTGAGGCCCCAGGGGCTCCTAGGGAGACTGACAATCAGTGCTTGTCAGAGATTAGGGCGGCCTTGAGGGGAAGGAGCATCACAGCTAGTAAACGAAAGAGGAGGCCCAGGGCTGCAGTTGAGCCAGTGGGAGGATGGCCAAAACGTGAGACTGGCTCTCTCTAGATTAAGAAGTCAGGGGTTCAGGGAACAGAGGAACTGGACTGAGTTTTGCACGGACCCTACCTCTGCCCAGGTTTCAAGAGATCTTCCTAAGTTTGGGGTGAACCCATGTACTTCCTGCTCAACCATAGGCTTCGCAGCACCCTTGTTTGATGCTCTGTCTCTACATTTCTGTGCTGTAATGTCTTTATTTGTCCCCATTAGGAGCTGTTAGCTCTGTTAGGGCAGAGTACCTATCAGGTCTGTGCCCCTGTGTAATACCTGTAGTCAGCACAGCCCATGGCACAAAGTGGGACCTTGGAAAATATTTGAACGAGTGAGTGATTGAGTGTCCCACTATCCAAGTCCCTTCTCAGGGCTCAGCACCCCATGCAGTGAGCCCAGGAAAGACAGCCCTACCTTTTCTCCATAGCCACCCTGCTCCCCCACATACATGGGACATCCAGGACAACTCTGCTCCTCCCTGCACAGGAGACCACATTTGCAGCTCTCCCATCCCCCAGCTACAGTGGAAACAAGGCCCTCCCAGGCATTGTGGTCCTGAGTGGCAAAGGCACACCCAGCCTAGGACTCCAAGCCTCTCACCTGGACTCCAGCAAAAACCTCACTGAGTTAGTTTCCTTGCCCATCCTCTCTCCCCCAGCTGCTGTTGTAAAGTTTATTTCACTGAAATACTTCTTTCATGTCTATCTATGTAAAAAACTTGGTTCTCCACCAATTAAATCTAGATGTTCAAAATGTCATCTGAGGATCTTTATCAGTTCCCCTTTCCTCCAGGCTCACCTCTCCCAGTTCCCAGCTCAGCTCCTTCGCACTAATTGTCCCATTGGCCTTTGTCTAAGGTGCATGACCCCTCCGAATGCTTGGTCTCCAGGGCCTGGCTCAAAATTGGTCCTTGGACCCTCTGCAAAACTCCAAGCACACCGAGATGCTCAGTGAACAGTGGTCCATTTTTCTCTCTCTCCTTTCTAAGAAGACTCTTTCAATAAACCTCATCCCATCTTCTTCTCCTAATGTATTTTCAATCAGTACTCAGAAACCTTTATCAGTGGTCACTTGTTAATAGGTGGTTTTATATCTGGTCTCCTCTCAAGCAATGCCTGTATGCTAAGAGCTCTCAGGCCTCTCAAGAAATCACCTGAGTGCATATTTCTTGTATCTTTCATGTGTACTCCTACTCCATTCTCCCAGGACCAGAACTTGGATGGGCTTGCCATTAGGAGCTCTGCATGGGCACTGGGGTTCAGCTGGAGGGCACGTGGCAAAAATGGGCAAGAGATCTAACCTCACCATTGCCAGGGTCAGGTCCAGCGATTATCTTCAACAAAAGACCACCTGAGGCCTCTAAAAACCCGTTCTGCCCCGCCATCCTTTCCCCTGCCTGAGAGACTCGCCCCGGCAACGTCCAGAGTGCTCTTCGGTGTCGTGAGAGGGTCCTGGGGCGGGGGTGAGGGGGTAGCCACTGGCCACTGGAACAAGAGCAGAAGCTCTGCAGAGAAGCCCTGCTCCATTCCTGGAATGAGACTCCCGCCCAGCTCCGCCCCCTAGGAGTCATGGCCCCGCCCCTGCCCCGTCGAGTACTGGAGAAGTTGCCCCCGCCCCGCGGACCCCGCCCCGCCGCCTCCGCGCGGCTTCTTTCAGCACCGCGGCGCGGACAGCTCCCGGGTGGCGTGTAGGGGAGGAGGCGCGGCGAGCGGCCGGCCCCGGCGAGCCCGGGAGGGAAGCAGACGGTAGACACAGGCGGGCGGGCAGGGCACGGAGCCCCGCGGCCCTCCCCGGGGCCGGCCCCCCCAGAACCGGACGCCGCTGAACCCGAGGACAGGCGGAGACCCAGGGAGCCGGGGCGCTGGTGGCTCCGGACAGAGGCCGTGGCCGGAAGATGCCGGTCCGCAGGGGCCACGTCGCTCCCCAAAACACTTACCTGGACACCATCATCCGCAAGTTCGAGGGCCAGAGTGAGTGTGTGCGTTGGGGCGGGGTTATGATCTGGAGTCCTGGTTCCGTGGCAGCAATAGTCGGACCCTTTGCTAACTTCGAAAGGAGCAGGGTGGAGGTTACCGGATGCTGAATGCAAAATTCTTCGCTTTAATGTCCCCGAACATCTTCTCCAGCAGGCCCCGCTTACCTCAAATGCCTGACCTCTTCTGTTCTGGAGCACAAATGTCAGAACACAGCCCCTCCCTTCCCCACTGATTTGTTTTCTTGCACCGCCCCCCACCTCCCCTTCTGTCACTGCCCAGCTTCCCCTCTTCACACACACACATGCACACATGCACCCTCTCCCGCCAGAGGTTTCCTTCACTTTCTCCTTCTTACCCCCTCACCCCGACCACCCTGGTCTTTCTAGCCGCTCTCCCTAGGCCTGACTCCCAGGCCACATCCCTGCTCCCGCCTCCTGACCCTCTCTACTGTCTCCAGGAAGGAAACCTTAGGCCTCCCTGCCACTTCACGGACCCCATTATTACCCTGGCCTTCCCACAACCCCCAAGACTGACTTCCCTTCCCCCACTTCTCTGGACACTGTCCTGCTCCCCTCTCCTGACCACCCCCTATTACTCTCAGGGGTCCCATGCCTTCTACCACGGCTCTGGCCTCCTTGGTTTTCCCGTTCGCCTCAACCTGACCTCCCCCTCCCTCATTGTGGTCACTGTTCTGCTCCCGCATCTAGATATCCCCTCACTGCTGCCAAGAGTCCCTAGAATCGTTTGCTCCCTGCCACCCAATCTTTTCCCCCTCCCCTCTTCCACCCCAGGTCGAAAGTTCCTGATCGCCAATGCTCAGATGGAGAACTGCGCCATCATTTACTGCAACGATGGCTTCTGTGAACTCTTCGGCTACTCCCGGGTGGAGGTGATGCAGCGACCATGCACCTGCGACTTCCTCACAGGCCCCAACACCCCACGCAGCGCCATGTCCCGCCTGGCGCAAGCTCTGCTGGGGGCTGAGGAGTGCAAGGTGGACATCCTCTACTACCGCAAGGATGGTGAGGCACCCTCAGGCCACAGGTTTTTGACCCCTTTCTTGTATGGCCAGGTGACCATGGGGAGGGCACTGACCTCAGGGCCAAGGACCTGGATAAATCTTGTCTCCTCTCTGGGCCTCAGTTTCCTCGTCTGCATGGGGAAGTGATGGGCATTGGACGTGATGCCTGGAGAGGTCCTTTTCAGAAACTGGATGCCAGGCTGAGCCATGGACTTGTTCTAACCCCAGGCAGGGCCTCCTGCTCCACCATCCCTCCCCCACGTCCCCAGTCTCCTGACTGTCCACTCTGTCATTGTCGGCCCCAGCTGTCAGGCAACTGGGACGGAAATTAGCCTTTCCTCATCTCTGTCTGCTCTGGGGATTAGGGGGATGAGTCAAGGCCTCTGTGGCCGAGCAAAGCATGGGGGCTGCTGGATGGGAGAGTGGGATGGGTCTGGCTCACCCAGCCCTGGCTCCTTGGGAGGAGGGGGTCTGGAGTTTGCTGTGACCTCGAGGTTCATCCGGTTTGGGATGTCATGCCAGCCCAAGCTTCCTGCAAGCATAACAGAAGCATAGGGCAGAGGCAGATGATGAAGACTTCTGCAGGCCTTTGACACCCTTACCCCAGGGCCTCTGATACTCCATTGGACCAGGCGTCGGGGGAGATGGGTGGGAACTAGGATCCTGAAAGTCCCTTTAAAATTACCTGGGGTTTGTTTTCCAAAACACGCCTTTCCTAAGAGAGGCTGACTCAGAGGTGTGAGGTGAGGCCCAAACAGGTATATTTGGAAAAATCCCCCTGGTGGTTTGGATAGTCTGTCAAGTTCAGGAACCACTGACCTAGATGAATCCTTTCATTTTATGGATGAGAAAACCGAGGCTTAAGAAAAAGAAGGACTTGTCCAGCTTCCTACTGCGGAGGTCCAACCTGGGGCCAGATCCCAAGTCTCTGGATTCTTTCGTAGAAATGTCTCTGTTCTGAGTAATCCTAAGAAGGGAGAAAGGACCTCAACTGTTCCTGTGCTCAGAGGCAGGACTTTTGGGAAAGGAAGCCCCAGAACATGCCTCCCCAGGGAAAGCAGGCTTGAGGGTCCGTCCAAAGGCAGGCGGGGGTCAGACACCTCTGGGTTGGACTGAGTGGCACTGAAGCTTGAGTTCCCAGGGCCGGGTGTGTGTGTGGAGCATGGGTGTAAGCGTGAACATAAATGTGTGTCAATGCATGCATGCATATGTGTGTTTAAAGGCTTCCGGATGCTTCTTGGGCAGGTCCTGGCTGCCCCTGCAGCTGTCTCCTGCTGCTGACACTCAGGTGAATGCAGAGGTAGAGATGAGGGCACGAGGAAGAATCTGGTTTAGGGTAGTGGCACTCACAGGGTTACAAAGTCAGAGCACTTTAAAAGTCTGTGACTTCGCCTCCTCATATCATTGCAGGGAAGAGGTGACAGTCAGGGGAATGAGAAGGCTCCTGGAGGAACAGGATGGGGCAGCAGAAAATGAGAGGGAACTACTGGTCCTTCTTTGTCCCTCTCCTTGACCCCAGAGCTCTACCTGAGCTCAGTGAGGTGAGGGCTGATTCCAGACTCCTGAAGATGTCAGATCTGGATTCTTAGGGTCTCCTTAGTACCCTGCATTTGACTGGGCAGGGGGCAGAGGTCAAGGCCAGGCCTTGGCCCTCTGAGACCAAGACTCAGGTTTTCAGAGTCCTCCTGGGGTCCTTCAGCTACCAGACCGGACCCTGACAGCCTAGTCTTGGAGGCTGACCTTAGGGGAAAACGGAAAATTACCCACGTACCTACCTGTTGCCCCCAGATGCCAGTCTACCTCCACCTCTACCACAAGCCCTTCCTTGTCTTATAGCCCAAGGCTTTTACCACCTGGACCTGCCTGAAATTGGCCTGAAAAGGGAGCCCAGAAAATGGAGCTTCCCGGCTTACATTACCCTAAGGGAAGGATGTGGTTCTCAGATAAATTGTGTTCACCTCATGGTCCATTCTGACCACATGACATTTTTCTTTTTTTAATCATATTAACATACCTCTTACAATCCTGTGGAGGGGCATCCTAATGTTAATTGCCTCCTGCCTTGGGTTAATACCTCCTCGGCCCATTCCCCCTGATTCCAGGGAGGTAGGGAACTGGACAGAATTCTAGCCGGTTTATTAGATGGGAAGCCTTTGGAGCTCCCCCACCCCAACCTTACCTCCGCTGGACACCAGCCCTGCCCAGCTTTGCCAGATCCCTGAATCCTTAAGCCAGACTAGAGGAAGCCTGGGGCTCCTCCAGGCCTCAGCCCCAGAGGAGGAGGACAGGGAACTCATGAGTGCCAGAAACACCAAGGGGGGAGTGGGTATGGAATAGCCACTGCCTTAGTGGCAGCATTTTGTAGCTCCAGCTCCTTCCTGAAGGCTGACAGCAACCCTGGAGGTGGGGTGCATGAAGAGATGGAGGTAATAGATGGCAGGGAGGCTGTGCAGCGGATGCGCGAGGGCCAGGCAGCAGAGGAGAGCACAGGAGCAAAGTGAATGTGAAGGAAGGGGCACATCCAAGAGGCAGAGTTGGGCAGAAGGGTGGTATGTGTGTGTGGCTGTCAAAGCTTCTGCTCTTGGTCAGAGAGGTGGGTGGTAGGAGGAGCCTCTGAAAAAGAGTGTGAGACAGAGACTGTGGCGCTTCCTTTAGGAACAAGGCAAGGGCACACGGACACCACCACCCCTGGGCACAACCTAGGGCAACACACCAACTTCTGGTCACCCGGACACAGCTATTCATGAGCAAGAATAGCTGAGGCATGGGTGGAAAGAATGCTCTGAACTCATCTGAATCCTCATAGCCTCCTGTCTCTGCATGTCCCACGGGCAGCAAGCATAAAGGTCAGGCATGGGGGGCCACATATTGTCCCCCTCCAGGCCTCACTGCTAGGATGGCTGGTCTTCAGTCCATTCCCGGCTTCGATTTTCCAAAGACAGCATCAGTGGGTGGGTACAGCCACTCAAAGACTGGGCCTTGGCTGCCCCCAGCAGCACGGAGAGCCTGGAGGCCCTGCTTCTCTGCCCAGTGCTGCCCTCTCTCTGCCCCCTGTCAGGCCAGATCTCTGCAGTGCCAGGGAGCGTGAGGATATAGTCTGACCTTGGGGGCAGTGTCTTCGGCCGCTGGCCAAGGAGGCCTCCTGGCTGGGTCTGAGCACACAGGCCTTGCCATGCCCCAGGCTGATGAGAGAGCCAGGCTCTGGGCCAGGAGGCAGCCCTGCAGCCCTGTGAGCCCAGGAGTGGGCCACAGAGGCAGATGGGTGACCTCTCCTCGGTGTGGATGTCTCCCTTGGGGCTCCATGCAGCAGCTGGCAGATGGCTGTCTGGTGCCTGGGAGTCCGGGAATCTGATCCAGGAGATTCCTGCTCCCAGGGAGGAACGTGGGAGGGAGGATAGAGACAGCTCAGCTGCACCCCAGTACGGATGGCTGTGAAAAGACACCAAGGGAAGTGAGCACTAAATGGGAAGCTGGGAGAAGAGTGACTCTAGTGGACCCCAAAGGAGCAATATTCCTGCCAGTATACCTCCCACTCTCTCACATTTACATACGTATTCATTCACCTAATCAACAAACAGCACCTGGGACAGGTGCTGACTGCTGGCAAATGAGACAGACCCAAACCTGGGCAGCTCTGTCTTCTGGTTTGCACATTTACCTGAGGCCCCTTAGGATCCTGCTTTGGGCCTCACACCCACCAGTGGTTTGAGTTGAGGGACACGGGACTACCAGGTACCATAGAGAGGGGGCTTACCCACCCACCAGGCCCAAAGGCAATTTTAGCTTGTTTTGTTCCATCCACCTATGGTGGCAGGAGAGCAGGACCCTGTAGCTGAATGAGAGGAACAGCAGGGCAAATAGCTGGATATGGGCTGCCCAAAACGGTGGAGAGAGTGGCAGGAGGGGCCTGTCCTGTCCCCACACTGCCATCTCCCTTCCTCTCCAGACCGCAGGCCACTGCCTTGCCCGCTCCCCTGTCCCAGCACTTCTGCCTTGAAACCCTGCTCCCCTTGCAGGCATGGAGCGGCGGCCTGGCCTTCACTCTGGCATTCCCATCCCAAACACATCCTTTCCCCTCCCCAACCTGTTGTACTGAGAATTCTGGAATCCCTGCTCTACGTCCCCTCCCAGCCCCAGCAAGTCAGCTCTCATCTGCAGAATGGGAGCTTCTGCCTGCCTGACAAAGACGCCCTGGGTCCCACCATGAAGACTAGGGCCTAAAACGGCAACTGGCTCTGTGCCCAGCACTTAGTATGTTCTCAGTGATGAGGTCTGTCCAGCGTCAGATTTGTGGGATGGGAACATGGGAGCTGAACTCAGGGCCAGGCAGAGCTTCAAGGGGTAGAATGCCTGACCTACCTCTGCACTTAATCCACCCCCATCTGCTCTGCTTTAATTACAGCAGAAGCAGGCCTCAGAAGCCCTGAGCTGTGGGCTGAGCATGGACTTGGACCTGACGCTACATTATCTCTTAATGAGCAGCTTAGCTGCTCTCCTTACCTCTGCTCCGTAGCATCACCAACCCTCTGGTCAGGCCTCCTCACCCTGCGGCTGCCCTTAATTTGACCTTTACCCAGTCCCCTCCCCAGCTTCCCCTGGTCAGGCTCCTGTAGGAGAGGACCCGTTCAGTGACCGCCCACCACCCAGACATGGTGTTTGCAGCCTCCAGCTTTCGCTGCCTGGTGGACGTGGTGCCCGTGAAGAATGAGGATGGGGCCGTTATCATGTTCATCCTCAACTTCGAGGATCTGGCCCAACTGCTGGCCAAGAGCGGGAGCCGCAGCCTGTCCCAGCGCCTGCTGTCTCCGAGCTTCCTGGGCTCTGGTGAGGTGGGACACAGGTGATGGGGGGAGGGTCGAGTGGGGCGCCAGGCAGAGCAGCTGGTCCCTGGCCCTGGCTGCTCTGACCCCAGCCCTGCTTTCAGAGGGCTCTCACGGCAGGCCGGGTACACAGGGGCCAGGCACGAGCAGGGTCAAGTACAGGACCATCAGCCAAATTCCGCAGTTCACACTCAACTTTGTGGAGTTCAACCTGGAGAAGCACCGCTCAGGCTCCACCACGGAAATTGAGATCATCGCGCCCCACAAGGTGGTGGAGCGGACCCAGAATGTCACCGAGAAAGTCACCCAGGTTTGGTCTGCAGGGCAGGGCACACATGGCTGTGCTGGGCCTTGAGGGTGGGAGGGGCAGAGTGGAGAGGGCTCAGCTGAACGCAATGATCAATCCCCACCCAGGACATGTAGAAACAGCCAAGGCTCCCTGGTACTCAGGACCTGTTGAGGCCCCAGATTAGCTTCACACCCCAAATCCGACTCTTTCCTTGGAAGGTTCTGAGAGTTGGCCCCAGGAAAGGCCTACACTGATCCAGGGTCCACAGGGCTTTCCTAGGCATCGCCCTTACACCTCCACCTCTCCTTGACCCATCTCGCCGGCAGTGGCTGCCCCACTGACCACTCTATGGCCCCCACCCTAGGTTCTGTCCCTGGGGGCAGACGTGCTGCCAGAGTACAAGCTGCAGGCGCCGCGCATCCACCGTGGGACCCTCCTGCACTACAGCCCCTTCAAGGCTGTCTGGGACTGGCTCATCCTGCTGCTGGTCATCTACACGGCCGTCTTCACGCCCTACTCAGCTGCCTTCCTGCTTAGCGACCAGGACGAGTCTCAGCGTGGGGACTGCAGCTACACCTGCAGTCCACTTACCGTGGTGGACCTCATCGTAGACATCATGTTTGTGGTGGACATCGTTATCAACTTCCGCACCACCTACGTCAACACCAACGACGAAGTGGTCAGCCACCCTCGCCGCATCGCTGTCCACTACTTCAAGGGCTGGTTCCTCATTGACATGGTGGCAGCCATCCCCTTCGATCTGCTCATCTTCCGCACTGGCTCTGATGAGGTGAGCGAACCCCATTGGGTCAGCTCTTGCAGCTGGAGAAGGGCCAGTCAAGGCTGTGCCCCAGGACTGGGTGGTCTCCTTGTGCTCCAGAAATCGGCTCCTTCTGGGATGAACATTCCTATAGTTCCAGCCCCTTGTGCAAGCTGTTCCTGAATGCGGCATCATACCTTCTCACCCCGAGCCCTCCACTGTGCCAGGTCCACTTCCCATAGCTATTGTGAGGGCATTTTCATGCTTTCCTTAAAGCTTCTAGTCCCATTATCTCCTTTTGCACCACCTCTTTGGAATCAGCTTTCCACTCTGAACAGCTCTACCTTCTACCTTCTAGGGGGTGCCCCAGTCACCCCCTACCTTGCCCAGCAGGGGCTGTCCGTCATGGCTCCCTGCTCCCATGCCCACTCACTCCCAGCAAATATATCCCCAAGTCCTCTTCCCTCCTTTCCACCCCCACTGTCTCTGCCTGGACACTGAGTGACCTTCTCACCCATGTCTACCCCAGCCCCACACCTGCCAGCCCTACTCCCTCCACATAGAAGCTGGGGAGAGTTTCAGATCACTTGCATAAGCCTGTTACTTATCTCACCCTGTCCTCAGAACTGGAAGTGCCTTTCCAGTGTCTTGGGATAAAAGCCAAACTCTTTGTGGACCCTCAGGCCCACAGGAGCAGCCCCTGCCCATCTCCCAGGCTCGTTTCTCTCTGTTCCGCCAGCTTCCACACTGAGCGGCAGGCTGTTGCACCATACTTGGTTTCCCACATGGACTTTTCCCACCTACAGGCCTTTGCTCCTGCTGCTCCCTGAGCCTGGAATGCCCTTTCCCTCTCTCTCCTATCTGGCTGGAGGCCCAGCCTCATCTCAAGACTCAGCTCGAGTGTCACCTCCTCTATGTAGACTCCCTGTTCTGCTCCTGCAGACTTGACCTTTCCTTCCTCTGATCTATCCCTAGATTTCTGTCCCAGTAACCATAACACTGATTTTGAGCTTTAGGCTGAGAGCTTTGTACGGTTCCATGGTGTGCCCCCGCTGCCAAGAGCCTGGCCCAGAGTAGATTCTTCACGAGTGTTTGTTGAATGACTGTGTGACCATATGCATGAGTAAATAAATATTGTCCTGCATGCGGCCTTTCAATGGCTGACCCCCTGCTCCATGGACCCCTCCCTGACCCTCCAGACCACAACCCTGATTGGGCTGCTGAAAACGGCAAGGCTGCTGCGGCTGGTGCGTGTGGCCAGGAAGCTGGACCGCTACTCTGAGTACGGGGCAGCCGTGCTCTTCTTGCTCATGTGCACCTTTGCACTCATCGCGCACTGGCTGGCCTGCATTTGGTATGCCATTGGCAACGTGGAGCGGCCCTACCTGGAGCCCAAGATCGGCTGGCTGGACAGCCTGGGCGAGCAGCTTGGCAAGCGCTACAATGGCAGCGACCCGGCCTCGGGCCCGTCAGTGCAGGACAAGTATGTCACTGCCCTCTACTTCACCTTCAGCAGCCTCACCAGCGTAGGCTTCGGCAACGTCTCCCCCAACACCAACTCAGAGAAGGTCTTCTCCATCTGCGTCATGCTCATCGGCTGTGAGTGCCACCTCACATCCCCAGCCTTACCCATAGAATTCGATTTTTAGTTTTGTAATGAGATATAACAGAACATAGGAACAATGTGTGTGATAGGCAGATCCGAAGCATACATAACAATGAAGTATTGCCTGTATACACCAACTATGCACAGAATTTAACACCCATCCAGCCCTTGTTATGTGCCAGGAACAGGGATGAGCTACATCATTTGCAGGGCCCGGTGCAAAATAGAAATGTAGAGCCTCATGTTTAAAAGATATTAAGAATCTCAAAGATGGTGAGAGCAGAGCATAAACCAAACGCAGGGCCCTTCTTAGCATAGGTCACACGCGTACAAAGCCAGACCTGCCAGGCACTCTGTTAAGTGCTTATCAAAGGCCCACATTTCATTCCCATCACTACCCCCATGAGGGCTGTATTATGGGCCCAGTTTATGGACCAAGAAAGCAAAGGTCCTAACTTTCCAGGGGATATACACAGACCCAGTTCCAGTCCAGGGGCAGTTCCCAGGGCTGTGTGCCCTCTGCCCCGCACGGCACTGCCTGCCTCCTGAGACACCTGGTCTAGGAACACAAGAGGTAGTGTGAAATTTTACACGTAGATTAAGTTGTCATGTTCAGAGTATTTAGAGATGCGAAAGCCCAGAAAAACAAAAACAAGAAAAAAAAAAATGGGTGAAGACAAGAGACCAAAGGTTTTTTCTTTATTATATTTTTACACTGAAAGAGAAAACAAGTCTGAACTAAAAAATTCTATTGCCTTAGTTCTTCCTTCTCAGGAGTTTGGCCCCTGGGCCCAGGAAGGTGCCAAGAGGCGCAGGGCAGAGGGAGGAGGGCAGAAAGCCCAGGGGCCTCTGTCCTCCAGGTGCCCTGGTGCTGCCCTGGGCACTTCTGACTTTGCCCTGGACAGAGAACTGCCAGGAAGAGGGAGGCTTGGAGCAGGCCCTGGGGCTGGTGCGGCCTGGGGCAGGCAGAGGCGCTCACTCCCCGCACCCCCGCTACCTCGCCCCAGCCCTCATGTATGCCAGCATCTTTGGCAACGTGTCCGCCATCATCCAGCGCTTGTACTCAGGCACCGCGCGCTACCACACGCAGATGCTGCGTGTCAAGGAGTTCATCCGCTTCCACCAGATCCCCAACCCGCTGCGGCAGCGCCTGGAAGAGTACTTCCAACACGCCTGGTCCTATACCAACGGCATCGACATGAACGCGGTGAGCTTCTGCTGCTCTACCCTGGATGGCTCTGGCTAATGCTGCAGGGTCTCGTGGGCCCAGGGCGCCCCAGAGCCCTCCCTGCCTGCTCCCCCAGCCCCACCCCCGCCCACTTCCCCTCGCAGGTGCTGAAGGGCTTCCCCGAGTGCCTGCAGGCCGACATCTGCCTGCACCTGCATCGCGCGCTGCTGCAGCACTGCCCTGCCTTCCGTGGCGCCAGCAAGGGCTGCCTGCGTGCGCTGGCTGTCAAGTTCAAGACGACGCACGCGCCGCCCGGGGACACCCTGGTACACCTCGGCGACGTGCTCTCCACGCTCTACTTCATCTCCCGCGGCTCCATCGAGATTCTGCGTGACGACGTGGTGGTGGCCATCCTCGGTGGGTCAAACGGGGAGAGTCGGGGTGGAGGGACTAGACCACTCCATTACTAATGAGGATGGTGGCACCTCTTATAACCTGCATGTGCTGAGCATGTGCCACAGAGAGCTTTATCCCCAGCTCACTGAATCCTTCAAACAAACCTCTGCCATAGGTCCATTTCCCTGATAGGGAAGTTGAGGCTCAGAGAGATCATGCTGGTAAGTTGCCAAGCAGGAGTTTCAGGGCCACGGGCCTGACTCAAAAGTCCAGGCAAACTCTTACTGTCTTTCGCTCTTGGGGAGAACAGAGTGAGGGGATGAGGGTTTGCCTTGGGTGAGGGGGGTCTTCAGTGTCATTCAGCACAACTGCAGGGACAGCTCGACTGGGGAAGGATATGAGCACTGGGCAAGGGGACAGGTGTGGGGCACATGCACCTCTGCCACTTACCAGCTGTGTGAGTGTGACCTTGGGCAGGTCGCTTCACTTCTCGGAGACTCACAGGGGTCCCTCTCATCTTCCTTGCCTCTCCCCCACCCCAAGCCCCTGACCAGGATGCCAACCTTGCCCCTCTTTGGTCTGCATGGCAGGGCTCCCCAACCCCTCAGGACAGGTCTGCCTTTGGCTCCTGTGACCACTCCTTTCCCTCTAGTCCGCCCTTAGCTGGTGTTCACTAAGTGTGGGGCTCTGGTCTCTTCTCCTCACCCTACACTCTCACCTAGGCCAGCTCCTCGCTTCCGGGGTCTCAGCCTCCAATCTGTGCCACAAGCACCCCCAGAACTCTGTCTTATTCCCAGTCTCTCCTCAGACAGGAATGGTCCTCTCCTTCCTGGCATGGCCACCTTTCTAGTCCTGAGGCAGACCAAGCAGCGTGTCTCAGCCTAAAATCATCTGCCCTCAAAAGCAGCCCCGCTGGCATCACCCTTACGGTGAACAATCCATTGCCTGAGCTAGGGACCTGCCTGCCTGCCATCATCCCGGCAGCCATAGAGCCCCACCTGTTTTTCTCTCTCTGTCCCACACATGGCTCTTTGTCCCTACCTGGGCCCAGCCCTCATCGTGTCCTTCCTGGGCAGGTGTCAGGCGCTCCTTTCCCATGTGCCTGCATCTGGCCTACTCCCATACTCCATCTTCCACTTTCTGCCAGCTCTGCATACTCCTCTTCTGCTAAAAGTCCTTCCATGGTTCCCCATGGCCCACAGGATAAGAGTGAACCCCTGTGTGCACAGTTCTCCCCAATCTGGCTACACTAAGTCCTGCCACCCTCCTCCTGTACTTCAGGTTCTAGCCATAAAACTATTTATTATTCTCTAGACCTGTCTCTATTGCACATCCATACCTTTGTACATGCTGCAGCTCTGCTTGGAGCACCTGCCTTGCACTCCTGCCTGGCAGATGCTGGTCATCTTTCAAGGCTGAGCCTAAGCACAGGCTCCTATCAGAGACCTTACCTCACTGCCATCCTACTTTAGAAGTGCCATCCAAATGGGAGAGGTAATTATTATTATTAATAATTAAGAAGCCAGTCCAATTTAAGTTTCAGTTAGAGACATGAAATCTTCTCATTTTGTCCTGAGTGGAAATGGACATTCAATCATAATCCTTCATCTGCTGGAAAACCATCACTTTATAATGTTGCCCGGGTTTTAAGCTCCTGGGTTTCATATGTGACCCTGGAAAGTCCCTTTCCCTCTTTAGGCCTCAATCCCCTCCTCTGTGAGTGACCTTTGAGCTTGTTCTCTTGGGAGACATGTCCTGGCCTCCATCCATCATTGTCTGAGAAAACCACTAGTGACCCTTGTTTGGTAGAGCAGGGCTGCGGGGGCTGAACTTGCTGTAGGCAGTGGATGTCAAAGCAATCAATGTACCCCGGGCCTGGGCCCTCTGCCCTCCAGCCCTGACTGTAGAACTGACCACACACTGTTTTTTCCTGCCCAGATTGCCTTTCTGCGTGGGGCCCAGTCCTCCTCAATTCTCACAACCCAGCCCCCACTTTACTTCTTCTGTAAGCTCCCCTCCTCCCTGCCCCCAAGTACCCCTAGTCCAATGAGCCCCTCCCTCCTCTGTGACCCCATAGCTCTCAGTTCTTCCCTGTTTTAAGGTTCAAAGATCATTCTGTAAACTAGTTGCTTTTGCTTTTGTGCCTATTTCACAAGGATGTTAGGGACTTCTTGTGGGTGGGGCAGCATCTTATTTATATATACGCACGTGGCCAGCATAGTTCCTGGCACCAGGAGGGCCCAATACCCTCGACACGTGCCCCAAGTATCAGCCCATGTCCATCTTGTGACACCTGTTGATACCAGTGCCTTGCATCAAAAACTCTGGTGCCTCTTGCTACTCAAGGTACTTTCTCAAGTGTCACGTCTGCTCCTATGGACAGCCCAGAGAGTAGGCAAGGCAGATATGGTTATATCCATTTTAGAGATGAGGACACTGGGGCCCAAAGAGGGTAAGTGACTTCCACAGACCTCCTCTGCCAGGGCCATCTGGTTACCTGGCCCCACGGTGGGGAGTGGGAACACAGACAGAAGCCTCAGGCCCTGCTGGAGGGAGCTAGGTGCTCCTGGCCCTGGGCTCCCTGCACTCTAACGTCACTGGGACAGGCTGAGGAGAGGGGAAGAGATTGAGCATGGAACCTTTGGTGCTCACTGTCCCCCAGGGCGGGGTGAGGAGCAGTGCCAAAGCATGTGGAAGTAGGAGGGGGATTCTGATAGAGGGTGGCCCTGAGGGGCCTGGAGACAGCAGAAGCACCCACAAGCTGGAAGGGGGTCTCTCCAGAGCTCAGAGGACAAGGTAAGTACACACTTCTCTTCCCCAGCCAGTACCTGCAGCTTTGTCCCCAGAGCTAGATCCTGAGCAGCAGACTCCAGCCTGGCAAAATCGGAGGTGGGAGAGAGGTCATGACCAAGGGGCCCTCAGGGAAGCTCCTTAGAGGAGAGCTTGGAGCCAGACCCTGGAGAGAGCCCTGTCCCTCTGGCTGGCAGGAAAGAATGACATCTTTGGGGAACCTGTTAGCCTCCACGCCCAGCCCGGCAAGTCCAGTGCGGACGTGAGGGCCCTGACCTACTGCGACCTGCACAAGATCCAGCGGACCGACCTGCTGGAGGTGCTGGACATGTACCCTGCCTTCGCAGACAGCTTCTGGAGTAAGCTGGAAGTCACCTTCAACCTGCGGGACGTGAGTCTGGGCTGGGTGGGCCGGGGTGGCTGGAGGCCCTTGGCCAGCTGGTAACGGATAATGCCCAGGCAGCCTGCTGGGGGTGTGGCCTACCTGGCCTGGGGGACCCACCTGACCACATCCTTTTCTTTCAACCCCATGCTGCGTTCTTTACCATAATTTCTTCTCTGTTTACTATGGCTCACATAAGGCTAAATATGAGGATAGCTACCCGTTATTGAGCACCACCTATGTGCTAATTGCTGAGCGTCCTTTACATTATCTCATTTAATCCTCTCCATGCAAATAGTATTGTTATCCTCATTTCCCAGATGAGGAAACTGAGGGCCAGAGAGGATAATTGGCCTACAGAAAGCCATACAGTCAATGGCAGAGCCAAACTGTGGAATCAAGTTTGCTTTTGCTTATTTCACAAGGATGTTAGGGACTTCTTGTGGGCAGAGCAGGATCTTATTCATGTATATGCCCTGTGGCCAGCGCAGTACCTGGCACAGTACCTAGCCCAGGCTTTTCCCACCCATTGTATCAAGCTGAAAGGGAGGGTGTCTGCCATCCGGGGGCTCACAGTGCCAAGTCCCAGCGGTGTCACGAAATGAAAGAGCTATCTCTCCTCCCAATCTTATCACTCAGTGGAGAAGATTAAACAAGTCAGGAGCCACACAGTTAAATAACCAGAGAAGTCACGAGGTTGTGCAGGGAGACTAGATTTCTGTGGAGCTCAGGGTTGCCAAGGAGCGGGACGGGAAGTACAGACTGGAAGCCCAGAAGAGGCTGCATGGAGGAGGAGGTCTAGAATCAGCCAGCGGGAAGGAGGTGGCAGGCATGCTTGGCAGGGGCAACAGTGGCTGAGACCCTGGCTCTGAGCCCTCCTTTCCCCCAACATAACCCCCAGCCTTGGAAGGAGGAGCTATGCTGGCCTAGGCCCCACATCCAGGATGGAAGGTATAGCACTAAGACAGGTACTAAAGACAGTCCTCTGCACCCTGTGCCCTTTGCTGTTACCCGCCTCCCCACCAGTATCCCCCCTCCCCATGTGGGCAGACACCGGGGCAAGAGCGATGTGGTCTTTGTGGGCATCTGCAGCCCCCTGGGGGGCTCCTAACTGGGGTTACCAGAAGGGTGAGCCACCAAGGGTGCTGCTGAGGGCACCTCCTGAATGGACTGGGGGTTCCAGACCCAGTCTCCTCAGAGAAGACTCCCCGGTAGACCGTACTGAGGTGCTTTGCCTCCCTCTCTCCCAAATCTTGATGCTCAAAGCAGCCTTTCCCAAGACTCTGTGAGGGTCTGCATGTCTCCAAGCCCCTGTTAATCTCCTGCCCACCCACGCAGGAGAGAGCCTGCAGGAAGCCGTCTGGAGCATTATGGGCACCACTTTCTCACCTAGTTGTCTGTCACAAGGGAATACGGGGACAATGGACAACAAAGGGGACTTGTCCCAGCTTTGGTCCCTGTTACTTGATGCTCTTGTTCCCCATAAGGCAGATGGGGGTCTCCAGTCATCACCCCGACAGGCTCCAGGCAGTCAGGACCACCAAGGCTTCTTCCTCAGTGACAGCCAGTCAGGTGAGCAAGCCAGTCTCCGCCAGTGTCTGCTCTGCCCCAGCCCAAAGCCCCTGCCAGCCTCCTGAGCCTTCTCAGTGCTTATATCCTGTTTCCTCTGAGAGAGGCCTTCCCTTGGCCCTGGAGGAGTGGAGAGGGGCTCCCTCCCTAGGCTTTAGATAGCAACTTGGTCCTGGGGGCCCTTTTCCCCTTCCTCCGCCTGTGTACTTAGAGACAGAGTGAGGACTAGCAGGTGCCTAGTGCTGCCACAGAGGGGTGGTGGGGGAATACTGGCCCTGGAGTTCCACATCAAGGCAACAGGGAATCCACTGGGCTTCAGCTTCCTGGCCAGCGAGGCCAGGGCTGGATGTCCCCACCCAGCCAGCCCCGCAAATCTGGGGCCCCAACCCCCTCTCAGAGCTACAGCATTCTTGGTCTTGGAGGCCAGACCTCTATGGAGGCCTCTATGGAGGCAGGACCTCATACTCCAGACACCCAGGAGCCACTCCTCCTGCCCTGTGTTTTCATTGCAGGTAGGGGGAGGGGCATAGGCTCAGGTGTGTGGAACCAGGTAGACCAAGTTCAGGCTTTCCTTTCTCTCCTGCAGGTGCAGCTCCTTCCCTGAGCCTCTCAGATGCATCTGGCCTCTGGCCTGAGCTGCTGCAGCAGGTGTCCTCAAGGCCAAGGGACAGCCCTCCAGATCCTCAGGGAGACCCAGACTGCTGGCCTCTGGACCTAAGCGCCAGACTAGAGCAGCTCCAGGCCCAGATGAACAGGTGAGTGCCCAGCCGGCCAGGTTCTGGTGGCTGCAGGGAGCAAGCGCAGCAGCAGGCTAGGCACGGGTGCCCCCTCCTGGTAGTTCAGGAACATCACAGGATGTCCTGTAAGTTTCGGAATGGCCGGCCAAGTTTAACAGCAGGCCACATGGCTGGCTGATAGTTTGCCCTAGCAAACCCTGGAACATGCCCAGGAAGCTTTCATGAGGGAAAGGTATAACTTTCTGCAGAAACAAATTTCATGGGAACTTGGAGAAGGGGTGTGGTCTGTGGATGACAGCACCGTGGTGACAGAGTTAGGGCTTAGGGGCAGTACAATCCTGGGTTCAAAGTCCGACACTGCATCTTACCAACAAGAATGTGGGCAAGTTACATACCCACTCTGTGCCTCCGTTGCTCTTTCATGAAATGGGGACAATCAGAATACCCATATCAAAGCTTCTTGGTGAGGACCAGATGATGTGTGTATGGTGCCTGGTCACTTATTTTTGAAGTCAGGGAGGTGCTAAGGGGAATTCGGGCAGAGGATATGGATTGTAGCAGGGAAGTAGCTTCAGGCAGGCCCCAGGCTGCCATTCCAACCAGCAGGAACAGCATGTAGGCTACAAAATTTAGAGCTGTCCTCAGGGCCTGAATTGCTTTTGCCAACCCTGACCCTGACCCTGATGGTGGGGTTCTGTCCTGTCTCGCAGGTTGGAGTCCCGCATGTCCTCAGACCTCAGCCTCATCCTGCAACTCCTTCAGCAGCCCCTGCCCCAGGGCCACACTGGCTACATTCTGGGAGCCCCAGTCTCCAATGACCTGGACTTGTTTCCTGCGGCCTCAACAACTCAGAGTCCAGGAAGTAGTCTGTCCCAGGATGGTCTGCCCCCTGCACAGGTGAGCAAGTGAGGGGATCCCCAGCGGCTTACCTGGAGGCAGCTGCATGCCTTCCCCCATTCCCTCTTTCTTGCCCCTCTCAGGCCCCAAGCTGTGGTAACTTAGACAAAAAGCGCAAGCACTCCTCCTCCAGGATGCCTCACCTGGCCATGGCCGCGGACAAAACACTGACACCGTCTTCAGAACTGGAGCAGCCTGAGGGACTCCTGTCATCGCTAGCCTCAACTCTGCATCCCCTGGAGGTACAGGGTCTCATCTGTGGTGCCCGCTTCCCCTCCCTTCCAGAATACCTCGGCTCTGTCCCCAAGCCGCTGGAGTTCCAGAGACATGGCTCGGATCCTGGATATGCAGGGAGTTACGGCCACTGAACCCCAACACAAAAGATACCATGAGGGGGTTGAAGGTGGGTGTGGTGGGAGTTAAGGATTTGGGAGAAGCAGAGAGCCGCCAAAATGGACCAATGAAAATCATTTTTTCTAGAGTAGCTGCAAACTGCTAACCCAGGTGACCCAAGATGGCAGGGACGAGGAGGCTCAGGACTTTTCCCAGCCTTCTCCAGGCCTCTGTTTAGATAGCAAGCCTGGTGAAGTGTGGGCAAGAGCCTTGGGCGTAGAGGTAGTTTGCAGGATGGAGGTGTCAGTGAGGAAAAGAAAAGCCTCTGATCTTCTGTGTGGGAGGGAGCCTTGCTCTGGGCTGGGTGCAAACATTTTCTGGCTCAGAACTATCTACTGCCTCCTGGCCCAGTCCCCAAGGTTGGTCAGACCTGTGAGAACCTGTGACTTGGCTGGAGATGAACATGTCTTCTCTAGTGGACACATCAGGGCACAGAGCTCCAGCTCTCAGCTGCTCAGCCACTGATGGTTCTGTGTTGACTTTGGGACCCTAGAGAACAGTGGAGTGTATCACAGCTAATAAAGTCTGCACATTTCACCTTGGGCTGGGTGTGTCATTTACCTGAGGGTGATTATGTCCTTGACTGTGCCATGACCCCAACGCAGTTGTCTTCTCCAAACCCTTCTCACAAAGAACTATGTGTTGGCGATTGAAGGTAGCTCTGCTGGACCCAGGAGCCCTTGGACCATGGGACTCTTACCAGGCTGGGGTGAAGGGGAGCAGAGGTACTGGCTTGGTGGTCACTGGGAATCATGGCAACAGCCAACACTTTCATAGCAGTCACCCTGTGCAGGGCACTGTGCTGACTTCTCTCAGATATTAGCTAACGTAATCCTCTCGAAAACCCTAAGGGGGCAATGTTATTTTTCCCATTTTAGAGAAATGTGATCAAAAGCAGAGACAGAGACAAAACAACTTATACAAATACTAGGAGGACATAGGGGGCTGGCGCTGTCCTGTTTCCTGACCTACGTGCTGGTTACATGAATGTGTTGTGAAAATATGTGCACTTCTATGTGTAAATTGTACTTTGATTAAAAAAATGTCTTACCCACAATATAGGAAAAGAAGGATATAATGTCAACCTAAATGGTCCGGCTTGAGACTATGCACAGTTAACTACTCCACTGAAACGAACTGTTGTCCAAAAAGTACCCAGTCACTGGTCTTTAGTCCTTTTTGTTCCAACATTCCCTAAAAGAATTTGGTAAATTTGCCTCCTCACACATTTTTAAATTGACATCTAAGGTATTTCATTAATAAGTTTAAATAGGTGTAAAGGGTGTAATTTTCACTGTGACGTAAATATTGATACTTTATAAAGTTTCACTTATAGTAATCCATTTTGATCCAAATAGCATAGTGATTTGAGAGCCAACATCATTCATTTTAAAAACACTAGAACAAGCACTTCTTTAACATCATTCCTTTTCTCTCATAGTTCCATTCTATTCCTCCCAGTTTATGCTACATAGAATTTACTTTCATGCTTTAAAGTCTATATTATTCATAACTTTGTCACATCTATTTGCAACACAAATATATAAATTAAAAATTTTAAATTAATTTTTTGTTACCTTACTAAGGCTTGCAGAGGTGTCCAACCTGTGGCCTGCAGGCCCCATGTGACCCAACACAAAATCATAAATTTACTTAATTTTTTGCTCATCATTTTTCTTTAATGTTTGTGTATTTACTGTGTGGCCCAAGGCAACTCTTCTCTTCCAGTGTGGCCCAGAGATGCCAAAAGTTTGGACACGCCTGCAAGGGCTACACTTAATAGTACAAAGTTTTTCAAAACAACATAAAAATATATTAAAATTTTTATAAACTAAGATTTTATTGGAAATGTATCTCTTAAAAGAGGGTATTTTTCTCTCAATTAGTTCAGTTATGGATGAATATCTTTTTTTTTATTAGAATAAGACAAGATTCAGCAACAATTTTGTACCTATTTTTCTTCCCTTTAAAAAAAACTTAAGCGCAGAGGAAGGTTGTTCACATAAATAGATAGGACTGTAAGAGTTTTGCTATATATGGCAGTGCCATTCAATTCTTTGAATTCTTCAGGTTGTCTGATAACAATCACATTTATCACTGAAAGCTATATTTAATGATATCTAACAAGTCAATACAATCCTCTAATTTTATGGAAAGCAAAGAATTGGAAACCATTTAAATCATAAAGATTTGAACTCTTCTCCATTTCAAACTCAGGACACATAAATTTAGGGTTTGATTAGCTTTTGCTTTGGGATCCCCGGTGAGGCGGGAAAAGGATGGTAGGGGATCTAAAAAAACTTAGAGCCATACTGGCCAGATAGCTGCCTAACTGAAAACCAATCTAGAATTCTTAACATTTCTAGATAGACAGGAAAGTGCGAGAAGGCCTGTGGCTTGTCCGTGGGCACATCAGCAGGTCGGTCTGCCAAGGCATGTCCTTGGGGTGCAGGGAAAATAACCCTCCTGGCTTAAAGGGGGTGTTAGCATGAGTGGGGAGAGAAAGGGATTCCTATTTGGCTCGCGGGACAGACTGCCAGGCTGCAAAATGCACCAGGCCCTCGTGTAAGGTGGGATTTTAATTTTTAGTGGACAGCAGGGAGAAGCTGCTCAGAATAGCAGCTGCAGAATAGAATTCAAAGTGTTACAGGAGAAATCCCCATTCTTGCTGACGCAGTAAAGAATTACAGATTAGCAAGTCTGTTAGTAGGCAGCCAGGACTGACGGATGCCCAAGGAGAAGAGGAGAAAGGCAAGACAGTAGGTGACAAAAGCAAGGACAAGGGCGGCAACAGCAGTGGTGGCAAGAGCATGAGTCCTTTGTTCTGAGGACTTACATGTTGGTGGGCTGGCAGGGAAGAAGTTACATGTTGATTGACAGGTAAAGGTGGGGCCAGCTTTCCTTCACCAAAGTGACTGTCCAAATTTAGGTATGTGTGGGGGTCTGTCAGCCCGAATCCTTCCCTTGCTCCAGACTACATTTGTTCATTTTGTTATAAAACAGATATGTGACAGGAGGCACTTAATTAAAGTTGAGGCAGTTACCCAAAATTATTTAAGAGCCCTTTAAGCATTAGGGCCTCCCTGTAAAACAGAGTGACCAGAGGTAGGCAATAAACCAAAGTTGTTTTATGGGCTTCTTTCTTTGGGCACTGTGAACCCCTTCCTCTTCCCTGTTCCACACTTTGGGATGAATACACAGTTTCAAGGCTTTCTTTCTGAGATAGTGGAAATGATACACAGACTTTCAAGGGCTTCCCCTCTCCGGGGCACCTGGCAGGATTATCAGACCAGGCTCAGGACAGCTGAGTTAGGGGGTGTGACATGTCTCTCTTCTCCTGTCTGCCTTGGTTTACTATCTCTCCTACCTAACAAAAGGAGGTCACACAAGAGATTTCTCTCTCAGACTTGGCCTAGAACTTGGAAACCCTGCAGCTCCGGCACTCTAGCCTCTAAACCACCCACGCCCCCTTTCACCCGCAGTGCGCTATCTCCCTGACTGACATCTTTGTCAGCCAATGATCTTTGGAACAGAGAAAGAGCCTGCCCCTTGGACTTAAGCTGCACAAGTAATTGGGATGACAAACATTTGCGCCAATAGAGAGGAGGTTTCAAAAGCCATAGGCGCAAAAGCCAATGAAGAGACGGAACTGTCCTAAGTGACGTGCCACGCAGCCAACGACCGGCGCCACTGTGGAGAACGCGTGGCTTCCGTTTGGAGAGGGCGGGGCAGCGTCTCAAACGGAAGGTGGTTGTTGTCTGAGCCCAAGCAGGTTTGAAACTGGGGGTCGGGCCGGCGGCCGTGGTTGTCTGTTGCCGAGGCCCCGCTTCCGGGCTAGGTCGTCCCTGCCCACCCCGGCCCCGCCTCCCTTCGGACCCCTGGGTCCCTGGCCCGGCTCCCCGTCCGACCGCGCGCCCCGCCCGCCTCAGCCCGCTGCCGACCCGGCCCGCACTGCGGCCCCACGGCAGCCACCATGTCCCTGCACGGCAAACGGAAGGAGATCTACAAGTATGAAGCGCCCTGGACCGTCTACGCCATGAACTGGAGCGTGCGGCCTGACAAGCGCTTTCGCCTGGCGCTGGGCAGCTTCGTGGAGGAGTACAACAACAAGGTGGGCCGGGCAGGGGCTCGGAACCCAGTTGACGGGGAGCGGGCCAGACCCCAGACCCCAGACCCCAGGACCCTCCTGCGGACTTGCCTTAGAGCCACGGAGCGGTTTCTCCGAGTCTAGTCCTGAGCAGAGGGTTTCGCACTTTCATTTAATCTTGGCAGCATTCCTGTGTAGTCAGGAGTGTAGTTACCCCGTACCCCCATTTTACTGATGGGGAAACTGGGGCATGATGTTGCGACTTGCCGAAGTCAAACAGGTATTCCGTGGCGGAAACAGATCTCAAACCCGAATTTACACCCCAGTGCTACGCCATTTATCAGTCCTGTCTCTCCACTCCTGCCGCATTGCTCCAGTTGGGGGGCGGAGGAGGAGGAGAAGGAGAAGGAACGAGGGAATGATGACTGTGAAGGATAATGCTGGCGATTCAGGTGGGCACTCACTCCTGGCCATGCTGGACTTCTTTTAGGGCTGTGTATTGCGCAGACTTCTCCTCCCCCGACTCCCAGCCCCAGGTACTATTCACGGTTACCCCAGCCCCTCTGCCAGGATTGCCATTGCTGCCTCATATCTGTCCTTTAAAGAGCTATCTCTTTTTGGAATCTTGGCCGTTAGCCTTGATCCGGCCACTGTTTTCCGATTAGATAAGGATGACACTTGCCTTATCTTTCCTCGGCTTCTTTTATGCTAATATAGATGTGTAGCCTCGAGTGGTAAGTATCCGTCAATTTGAGACGCCTTCGTAGAAGCACGGGTAGTAGGGGGAAGCTTTTAAGCTGTCAGTGCAGCATCAATTTATTTTTGAAAGTTGTTGAGTAAGTCAGTGGGAAGAATTTTCTTTCCTTTACCTGTTAATCTTTTTATTGTATTTGAGTAAATGTTGTGATTGTTAGAGATCAAAGCAATTGAAAGCCTCGACTAGTGTTTTCAAAGCACCCCTGGACAGGGATGGTGCAGGGGGAAAAAGCCAGGCAGGCTAGGATTGGGTCCTGTTTGGTCCATTGACTAGCACACGGCAGTCAGTCTTACTATTTCTGACCCACAGTTTGTTGTAGGAAAAGGTGAAGGCCCCACAGAAAACATCTGAACACTGTAAGTTTGTTTACAGTTCTTCAGGAGCATAGCTCTTTCTCTAGAGTTAGGTCCTAACTTCTCTGGAATCCCCTTTGAGAAACTGATAAAAGTGGACTCTCATTGCCCAGACATTACATATACTCAGTTTACAAACAAATAGTACAGAGTACACACCGAGCTTCAAGTACACCCATTACGCACAGAAACCAGAAAGTCCTGAGCAAGACTTATCTTTATTTTTTCTCTAATTCTTCTTTCTTACAGCCATAGTGGACAGCAGACATGGGAATGGAATTTATGGTCCTGACGTTGAAACCATGTTAGTAAAATTAAGAGCATTAGAACTATTCTTTAAGGATACATTTTTTTTTAAAAAAATGTCTTTTAAAGGGCTTGAGTCTCACACAAATAGATGGGGTTTTTTTCCCCCTTGCAAGCCCTTCCAGGATTAACTTCAGTAAGCAGTAGTTAGTTACATTTCTAGGAGAGGACAAACTGAGCCACAGTCAGGCTGGTAGAATCAGTGGAGTAATTGGTGTCAAACCTCAGTTGCAGGAACTTCACCCCAAAATTTGTCCTTTCATTTAGCAGCTGTATGAGAGCTCCTCTGTGCCAAGCACACAGGCAGTGTGGCCTTTGTTGTATAATGCAAAGTGATAATCCTAGTAGTAACAGAATAAGCAGTTAACTATATCTTAACTCACTTCTGTGATGCAGATGATCAGTGTCTTAAAGCTATTTTTGTGCCCCCACCTAAGTCAGGGTTTTTAACTTGTGAGTGTTTGTCTGCATGCTCCATGGATACCTTTGGCAGCCTGAAGTCCGTGGACGTTTTTTCACAAATGTGTTTTCAAATGCATGAAGTACACAGGATTATGAAGGAAACCCGTTATATTGGGCATCAATTATCAAAAACATTTTTTAAAAAGTGATACAGTAATATGTATACTTTTATATTACTCATTATATAACTCATTAAATTGCATCATCCACTGTAATTGCTATACTTTTGAAGTAGGGATGAAGGTTAAACAGCATTTCAAGATGTTTAACAACTGTAATGTGATATGAAAAAAAATCAGTGATTTGTATTTGTGACAAAGTCACAGAATAATGCCACTGTGACCACCACCATTTGTAATTGAAGGAAATGCTCAATTTCAGCTAGAGGTTAGTGAAAATATGGCTATAACTTTTTAATTCGAGTTCATGGACCCCAAGTTAAGAAATACTGCTACAGAAGATCTGGGCCTATTCTCAGGCTCAGTTTTGGAGAAAACTTGACATGGAGGTGCCAGACTTCATAATTTTGCAGGAATTTAAAAATTATTGGTTGGAATTTTCAGACTTTTAGTTTCTGCTTTCCCTCAGCAGCGATTGCCAGCAAGACAAAATAAATGGACATAGCAAATTATTGTTGATGAAAAGCCCAGAAATGGTCTTTTTTACTGTGGAGACATTGACTATAAGAAAACATAATTTTTAAAGTTTGTATTAATGTAATCATGTTTTTCTACAATACAATTATTCCTAGTTTGATAGAATTAAATTTGTTAGAATTTCAAGAAAGACTTAACTTTTAGGGGTTCCAACATCTAAATAAATTTAGAAATCATTACAGAGTAAAAAGCAGGATTCTGTCCTATTACTGGTCATTGCATTTTCTGTTCTCTGTGGTTTTTGCTGGGGGATACAGCAGCACGAGTAGCAAAGCAGTGGTTCTCTAAGTTTTAGTGAGGGTGTGACATCCCCTGAGGGACTTTCACATTTCTGGGCTCCACCCCTAAAGTTAGCAGACACTCAGGGGGTTCGGACACAGTGGTCCAGGTGGCACTCTAAGAACTTAACCGTGGAATTACCTTGGCATCTGCTGACCACAGGCAGGAACCCAACCTTTTTGTATCTCTAAGTGCCCAAATATTGGTTCTGTCCTTTCATCCAATGAAAATGGCTCTATTCCCAGGTAGCCAGCCTCCTTGAGGTAGCCTGAATTGGCCACTTTGCAGTTTTGTATGGCCCTGGACAAGTTCTCAGTTTCTTCTCTGTAAAATGGTAAGAAATAAGATTAAATGAGCTAATATATGTGATGGAACTCTGCCTGGCACATAGTAAGTGATTTAGAAATGTTAGCTATTATTTAATCATCATCATTATTGTACCTGTTATTGAAATACAATCAAAGAGAATTATATGGGTATTAGGTAAATTTGACTTCTGAATTTTCCAAAGAGGTATCAGGACCTTGGGGGAGAAAGGTACCTTAAGAGGTCATTATGTTCATTCATTTGCCTTTTAAAGACCTGGGGGAAGGGTGGATAATTCCCTTGATTCCTTTCAACTAAACCCATTTTGTGGTCTGGAAGACTGCACTTAACTGTAATGTGCTAATTGAAGCCCATCTTCTCTTGTTCCACCTGGCTTAGACACAGTAACTCAGATAAAAGAACTCTGGTATTTTGCCTGAGTTTTGATAATATCTGTGGTGTTTGGGCAGGTAATATTCCCCCTCTTTTATGGGGAAAAATAGGCAGCAGTTCGTGGCATGTTTCAGGGTTCGTTTTGCATGGAATTGACAGGGTGATGGGGATTTATTTTGCCCCAATTTTAACTTAGTTGATCTTGTACTTTAATATTTAGCACTTGTCCTTTAATATTTAGCATCTAGGAAACATTTTTGAGGTTGTGAGGACCTGATGCTTTTTGAAAAGTACTGGTAGTGAAATTAGGTAAGATTACTTTGTACTTGAAATACACATGAGATGAATGCTTGTCAGCCTTTGTTGATTCCTCTGAGATTTTTTAAATGCAGAGCTACTTTATCTATTTAGTACATAATTATTTTGATGTGGGCATGTTATTTTTCATTTCTCAGTATTTCTGGTATCCCTTCAGGGTCCTTGTTCATTTGCTCATTAATTCAGCAAATATGTATTGAACACATACATATATGTTTTAGGCACAGTGATGATGGTTGCTAACTTCCTGTAGCCTACATTAGCAGACATGAGGTTGGCAGCAGTAAAAAAAAAATGTGTTTTAGTGCACATAAGTATTTTTGACATATTTAGACTTAACAGAAATTTTGCAGGATTCTGTCAGCTCTGGCAAGACTGTTAGGGAAATTGAAAAGATAAAACTTATGGTTTTAACTTCCTCCTTTCTTTTTTCTAGACAGTGAGAGGACTAATTCCTTCATAGGACCTACTGAATAAAAAGTGCTTTTTGCCCTAACCTGGCTCACACAGACGTACTGGAGATGCTGTGATTTGGACTATGAATGAATCTGTGTCCTGTAGGTAGTTGGGCCTGCTTGAGGTGGTGATGCCTAATTGGCCAGCCTCTGTGCCAGGAGCTGAAGGGGTGCTGTGTCAGAATTCATCTCAAAGTTTGACGAGGCAGGATCTCTCTGTGCACATAGGAATAGACTGGAAGGGAGGACAGATGGAAAAGACCAAGAAAAACTGCTTTATTCTCTCAGAATTTTGCGTTAGCTTATTTTGGTTATATTAACAATTTTGGGAATATATTCCACTGACTGGAATGGTATATTGATTTGAATAACTTGGAGGCTTAAAAAAAAATTACGTATATTCGTATGTATCAATCTTCATGTTCTGGTTCTGGCACTCTGTGTAATAAATGGAACACACAATTTCCTCCCTCAGGAAGCTTATATTAACAAGATAGATATGGCATCTTTTAATTTTTTAAAAATATAAGGTATGAGTAATGTGAAAAGTAATTTATGTTGTTTTTCATTAAAGTGGTAAAAATGAAAATGAAGGTGGGGTCATGCCTTCAAGTAGTAAATATTTTATATTGCATATCTGCTCCTTAGAAGACATATGACAGAGTAAAATCCACAGTTTATAAATAAATAAAAATGATCTTGCTTCACAGCTATTTCTTTTTAGGGGCCTTTGTTTCAC